TCCCAAAAACAAATAAAAGGAACCCCTGTACGTGATCACCCTGAGAAAGGCATGTATGCCTCTTCTCCAGGCCTAGGTCACTCATATTGGGCTTGGAAATAAACCACATCAATTATTAATTATTAATTTTTACAGTTGGTTATTTTTCTGTTGACATTGCCTTGGAGACTCCTCATATCTTGTTGAATTTTTTTTTAAGTGTGTGTGTGTGTGTGTGTGTGTGTGTGTGTTTGCTATAGGGTGCATGCGCTCGTCAGAAAGAGAGACAGAAAGCAAGAAATCACTCCCCCAGGAGTATGGCCGTGCTGCAATCCTTTCTCCTCCATTCTCCTCTCGGGATCTTAGGCACGCCCACACACGCGCCCGGCATGAGTTTAAGCCACCGGGGTCTAAGACTTGAACCACAGTCAACCACATGAGAGTCCAGTGACACAGCCATTACATCAACTGCTGGTCCCTGAAATCTTTCCTAACCTTTCACCTCACAGCTTATTATTTCTGAAGTCCTTTGCAAAACTCCTTTGCAACAATATCTCCCAGCTCACTAATCATCACCGATTTGTATTGTTTATACTAAACATTTCAATTTTTAATTGCTTATTTCTACTTCACATTACCAACATATGATTGTAAATTTAAGTTTTTGCTATAAAGTGTGTGTACTCATCAGAGAGAGTCAGAGAGAGAGAAGGAAAGTGAGAAATCATCCCCCAGATGGGATAACCACACTGTCCTCTCCTCCAGGCTCCTCTCAGGATTTTGAGCACACATGCAGAGATGCCCAGAGTGATTTTCAAGCTGTTGGGTCTGGGACTCAGACTATGCACTCAATCATGTGGGATTCATTGCCTTAATTCCCATGCCATCCCTTGGCCCCCAACATTCGCTTAAAAGGGATCTTTGGGACCAGCAGATGGCGTAATGGTTACATTGCTGGACTCCCACATGATTGAGTGCATAGTCTGAGTCCCAGACCCAACAGCTTGAAAATCACTCTGGGCATCTCTGCATGTGTGCTCAAAATCCTGAGAGGAGCCTGGAGGAGAGGACAGTGTGGTTATCCCATCTGGGGGATGATTTCTCACTTTCTGTCTCTCTCTTCCTGGCAAGTACACACACCCTATAGCAAAAACCTCTCCAAAAGAAAAAAAAAGGGATCTTTAAAGGTTGTATCAATAATGTGTGATATGAATGGGTTTCAAAATTTTTTGCACCAAAATAAACTTTGTTAATCCAATTTTTTCTATGAACTTCTTGAAGTCCCACAGTTCTGTAAGAATGTTTATTTAGCACAGGTGGTGTTATGGTTTAGATAATGGTTTGTCCCCCAAATGTTCATGTTTCGGAATTTGGTCTTAGTGGGCAGTGAATATATGTCACCCAGAAATTCAAGTGTGGGGACTTGATTCATTACAAAGGTGTTATGTGAAAACCTAATCCCTTGTGGCTTGAAAAACATGATTCATGTGTGTGTGCCTGCCCCCAAATCCCACAAGCATGACGAAATGGAGAAGGGATTGTGGTGTGACCACATCCACCCCACTGTGGCCTTCCTCATAGTCCTCTTTTGTCTCTGGTGAGCACATGTGCCTTCTGGCAATCAAAATAAGATAAAATCATAAAATAATGGGTTTATAGAGGACATATATGGCCCAGCCAGGAACACGGCACGACTGCAGCTGATTATTTGCTGACCTCTCTCCAGACAACCATGTTACAAAGGACTTTCCTTGCCCCTTCTTTTATGTCACCACTAACACGTCAAACTTCTTGATTGTGAAAGCTTACTTTTTGGAGTGTGGAGGAAGGACTCCAGGATAAACACTCCCCATGTTTGTTTTGTCTGCTCCTCAGGTTTGGTGGTCCTGGAAGTACTGAGCTACTAGGTACTCATGCTCCTGCCCCACCATGCCACTGGGCCAGGCAATGATTTAACTGAGACAATGGGTAGAGGCAAAAATAAATAACTTCAAAGACCGGCTCAACAGAGCCCACAGTATTTGCATCTGTTTCTTCATTGTCCCTAGATGCTGTTGTCTGCCACTGAGACCATGAGTGTTTTATCTTCCCTCAGAGGCCCTTTGATATTATTTTCACTCCATGTTCTTTGCTTGCAGGTCAATGGACAGTTCACCAATTGGACAGAAACCTCAGGAGTGTTCTTCCTCTGTGAGAAAGGGAATCTATTTTTTGACATGATTACTTCTGGGACAATTAAATTTTTTTCTTTTACCTTTATGGTCTTCACATGATTTAATCTGGACAATACTGCAACGCTATTGCTATATATCATATGCTTCCCCTCTTAAGTTTCCCCATATCTGGATATAATTTGAGAATGAAAAAAGAACAGTATGTGAACTTTTGGCCTCAGGTATAAGTTATTTTGCATTATTGTCTTTTGACATGTCTTAGAAACAAAACTGAAATGTTAACTGTCTCCAAATCAAGCAGTAGTAAATAATGTAGGTGGAGGTAGCAATCTCATGATGCAATGAGCAGTGGTACTGAAGGGAGAACCACTGCCTCAACTGACCATAGGTTGAATGGTTACACCCAGTGTACTGAGAGAACCAAAAGTAAGCCACCACGGGGAGAATCATACCTCCAAATCCTACCCAACTCCTTGATCACCTCCCACCACAACCACTTCAGCATGCAAAATATTATCTGTTAACACTCCAAGTTTAACCCTCTAAGAGAAAGGTGAAATAAAAAGCAAGTACATGTAGTCCACTCCACCAAATGTTCTATTTAGTCCTGGCTGTGCCCTTATCAGTTCAGCCCATCTTCCCCACACGGACTGGTGCTCTTATTTTTTTTTTTATACATTTTTTAAAACCTTTTTTATTGAGAGGTTTTTTGCTATAGGGCACGTGCACTCGCCAGACAGACAGAGAGGGACAAAGAGACAGAAAGTGAGAAATCAACCCCCAGAGGAGATGACCACGTCGTAATCCCTTCTCCTCCTTTCTCCTCTCAGGATCTTGGGCACGCACGCACATGCGTCCAGCGTGAGTTTTAAGCCACCAGGTCTGGGACGTGAACCGCGGTTGACTACATGGGAGTCCAGCGACATAGCCATTACACTAACAGCTGGTCCCAGCGCTCTTATTTTTTATGGTGCATAGTCTTAAGCTGTCCATTGCTTTCACTCACTCACATCTATGCTGTTAACAATGATGTATCTTTTTTTTTTTTTTGAGAGATTTTCACTGTAGGGCGCGTGCGCTCGCCAGACAGACAGAGAGAGACATAGAGACAGAAAGCGAGAAATCACCCCCCAGGGGGGATGGTCACGCCGCAATCCCTTCTCCTCCATTCTCCTCTCGGGATCTTGGGCACGCACGCACACGCGCCTGGCGTGAGTTTTAAGCCACCGGGTCCGGGACACGAACCGCAGTCGACTACGTGGGAGTCCAGCGACATAGCCATTACGCTAACTGCTGGTTCCCAACAATGATGTATCTTAAATTTGCTAGAAGTGTTAGTGGTAAACTTTTAAATATAACTTTTTATCAAATTAAATGTGCTGTTTTATTTACTTCTAAGAAAGAACACTTCTGTGTTAAGATACATCCTGAATTCAGCAGTGTGAAAAACAACTTAGGAAAATATGAAAAGTTACACATTAGCTTCTTTATTGAAGAGGCAGTTCGGACCCATTTATATAAGCAAAAGTGTGAGATGACAAAATATATAGTGACCCTTTAACCTTTTCCATTTTTATTTTACTTAAAATATACATTATATTGAACTTTAAGGATACAGTGTAGGAAATCTTAGTAGTTGCCATTAAAACTACTATAAAAAGTATGTATTTCCTTCACAGAATTATGCAAAAATCTAACATTTAATTTGTTTTGCAGCTAATTCATACATATTTAGAAAAATATGGTGAAAGTGGGCTGAGCAACAAAAATGTTAGCCACTTTTGATTTTAAAAAACTTTCATGAAAAGTGTAGTAAACATGCAGAAAAATACACACATTATAAGTGCAAAGCTCAGAACACAGATGTTCAGCACCTAGAGTTAGGATGTTATGACCAGCACCAGATAAAAATCTCTTTTCAGTCTTGGCCAACACTAACCACTATCCAATTTCTAACTTCCTAGACAAGTTTTGCTTATCCTTATATTTTACATAGATGAAGTCACACAGTATGTCCACTTTTGTGTCTAGACTCCTTTATTCAGCATTGTTTGTGAAAGTCAGCCACATTGCTACATGGGCTTATGGTAGTTCATTCTCATTGCCTTACAGTATTCTACTGTGGTGATATATCATTTAAGTTTATTGTGCTGCATATATATGCCTTAAGATAGTTCTCAGGTTTTTGTTTTACAGTTTTACATTATGAATATTCTAGTTCATGTCCTCTGGTGAACAATTTTCTATAAATTATGAAACTCAACTGACAAAGGACTTTTATTGGAAGAACACCCTTTCCCTATTGCACTTGTCACTGTTGTCAAGTTAGCGGATTGTATATTATGGGTCTCTTTCTGGAACCTGCATTCTGTTCCATTGGTCAATTTGTTTATCCTTGTGCCAATATCTAACACCACTGTGACATCTATGACTTTATAACTGCTTTTGGTATCAGGAAATACAAATTCTTTAGCCCTTTCTACTGTGTAAAAGTTAAGAGTATTACTGGCCTTTTGAATGTTCACATAGATTTTAGAATAAGCTTAATTTCCACGAAAGAACTTGCTAGGGTTCTGATTAATATTATGCTTAATATATGAGCTAATTTAGGGGAAACTGATATAATTTTTTAGATTGTCCTGGAATCTATGAACAAGTTATCTCTCTTATTCTTTTGCAACTTTTTCCTGAATACAGCTCTTAAAAATATGTTAATTTTTCCCATAGGCACTTGAGGAGTTTGATAAGTGTTATTGCTTTAAAATTTTTCATTTTCTATGTCTTGTGCTGGTATATTAAACAGTTTTTGCATAATGGCCTTCTTTGCAGGGACCTGGTTAAACTTACTTTTTTTTTTTTTTTTTTTTTTATTTTGCCAGAGGTTTGTGTGCCTGGAGAAGAGGAGGTAAAGCACTCCTTATGGTGGGTGGCCATGCTGCAATCCCATCTCCTCCATTTCTCCCTCCCTTTTGAATTTTGGGCTCACAGGCACAGGTGCCTGGTGTTTTTCTTACCCACCAGGTCTGAGACTAACCACAGTCAGCCATGTGGGATCTTGTCACCTTAACCAACACACCACCAGGTGGTCCCTTACTCATTAATTCTATTTATCTGGAAATTGTTCAGAATAATCTATGTACAAAGTTATGTCATCTGCAAATAAGTTTTATATATTTTTAAGTCCTTATGCTTTTTCTTTCTTGCCTTACTTTCCTGGCTAGGTCCTTCCGCATAGTGCTGAATAAAATTAGTGGATTTTTAAATTTTAGTCATAAGGGAGAAAACTTACAAAAACTTATTTTACCATTAAGTATGATCGTTGTTGTGGTTTAGGTTGCTCTTTATCCGATAATGGAAATTCCTTTCCCTAAATAGTTTGCTAAGGTCATAAACAAACATTAATTTTACCACACAAATCGTCTAGATACCAGAATACTTTTCTTTACATGTGTAACAGCAATTGACTTGAATATTGCATTCATGGAGTAAGATCCATTTGATCACTGTGTTATCCTTTTTCCAGAACAAACCTATATCCTTTTTTGTTGTCCAGGATGGGGTCATATGACCACTATGAACACATTACTGGCAATTAGAATGGAATTATCATTATTGGTTGAGACTAATCAGTATTTACCTTCTGTGTCATGTGAAGAAATGATAGGTACCCAAACTCTTCCTGCAAGGAATGAGGGACGAAATGGCATTAAGTTAAACAGCCCAAAAAATGTAAACTAGAAACCTGTATTAATTTGTTTCATACTACTGGAAATAAGGGGTAATGCAAGAAATAACAGTATTTATATCAAACAAAAAATTCAGATGAAATTTCTGAATTATGCAATATTGGCACTCTGCGCATTCAAAGTTATAGACTAAAAACAAAAGTGGTGGGAGTTGGGAATATTTTAGAAGGTAGGAGCTGTACATTTATTCTCCTTTAAAACACACTAAGCTCCAAATTAAGTGTGCATAGTTTATCAAAATAGTATTTTTTAATCCCGCCCCCCTTAGGTACAGTTGAAAACTTTACAAAAATCATTGCCTGATGAGGCATTCATTAAAAACCCATTTTGAAATTCCTCAAAGAATAGAAAATAATTATTTTACTATTTTATACTATCATTGTCTCACCAATAATATGTCCTGTCTCAGTATATTTTGCCATCCTAATAATCAAATGAGAATGTTGCCTTTTTTTTTACAAACTATTCAAATCAAAAGTTGCATAAAATTGCATAGAATTACTATTATATTGCATTTTTAAAAACATATAGTAGGAACTACCTTATACTTATTTAATGCTATTGTCTTCATGATCAACTCCTGATGATCTTAAAACTTCATTTCATACAATGGTTTATTGAAGCTGATAGCTTCTGGTATCATTCCTATAAACATCTGATTTCACATCAGAAATATGGCTTTTAGCATAATTTCCAAGACAATATAGTTTCCACATTCATCACATTGATAGATTTCACCTTAGTTATGATTCCCTGACACATAAATACAATTTGAATCCAAAATAAATATTAAATATTCATAAAATTCCACTCTTGTATAAATTATTAAGTGTCCAATGTGTTGTATGGTTTTGGTGCATTCTTAGGGGCATTTCTTTGTGAAAATTTAGAGTAAAATATATCTAGTGCCTAAATGTTTCTCTCTATTCTGGAACAAACTCTCAGGTGAGATGATACTTGACTCCTTTTTGTGTTCTCCATGTTCACTACATATTCATATTCAGAGGGTTTTCTCAAAATTGAAACTTGACTTCAGAGATTTTCCACATCAAGTACATTCATATTCCCTCTTCTATGAATTCTTTGATGGCTATTGAAAGCTGATCTGTGGTGGAATTTTTTCCCACATTCATTACATTCATATGGTTTCTCTCCTGAATGAGTTCTATAATGTACAGTGAGGTATGACTTCTGAGAAAAGACTTTCCCACATTCATTACATTCATAGGGTTTCTCTCCTGAATGGCTTCTATAGTGGACAGTGAGGTTTGACATCCGAGAGAAGACTTTTCCACACTTACTACATTCATAGGGTTTCTCTCCTGAATGTATTCGATGATGTATAGTGAGATATGACTTCTGAGAGAAGAATTTTCCACATTCATAACATTCATAGGGTTTCTCACCTGTATGTACTCTTTGATGTCTAAAGAGAGATGAATTATGGGAGAAGGTTTTCCCACATTCATTACATCCATAGGGTTTCTCTTCTGAATGACTTCTATAATGTATAGTATAATACGACAACTCAGAGAATAATTTCCCACATATATTGCATTCATAAGATTTTTCCCCTTTTGGAAGTGACTGGTGCCCATTGATGGCTGGATTTTCAAGGAGGGTTTTCCCACATTCATTACATTCATAGGGTTTTTCTCCTAAATGAGTTGTATGGTCAGTGAGATAGGACAACTGAGAAAACTTTCCACATTCGTTACATTCATGGGATTTCTCTTCTGTGTGTACTTTCCGATGTCTAATGAAGGCTGAATTTAAGTTGAAGGTTTTGCCACATTCATTACATTCATAGGGTTTCTCTTCTAAATGACTCCTATAATGAATAGTGAGATATGATACCCTAGAAAAGAATTTTCCACATTCACTACATTGATAGGGTTTCTCTCCTGTGTGTGTTCTCTGATGTGTTATAAGAGTAGACTTTCGGTAGTAGGATTTCCCACACTCATTACATTTATAAAGTCTCTCTCCCGTGTGTGTTCTCTGATGGTCACTGAGGGCTGACTTGCGGGAAAAGGACTTCCCACATTCACTACACGGATAGGGTCTCTCTCCTGAATGATTTCTCTGATGTAAGGTGAGATGTGTCTTTTGGCAGAAGGTTTTCCCACATTCACTACACTCGTAGGGTTTCTCTCCTGAGTGAGTTCTCAGATGTTGAGTGAGGTGTAACTTCTGACAGAAGGTTTTCCCACATTCATTACATTTATAGGGTTTCTCCTCTAAATGTGATCTACGATGTACAGTGAGGGTTCCCTTTTGACTGAAGGATTTCCCACACACATTACATTCATAAGGTTTCTCTCCTGTATGAGCCCTCTGATGAATAATAAATTTTGACTTTTTACAAAAGGATTTTCCACATTCACTGCATTCAAAGGGTTTCATTTCCATTTGTGACCTCTGATATGCACTGAAATTTGACATGTGAATGAAGTCTGGTCCAGAGTCATTCCACTCATAGGGCTTCTCTCCCATGTAAGCTCTCTTATGAGTAATGAAAACAGCTTCACTGCCTAAGGCTTCCACACATTCATTATATTCAAAGGGTTTCTCCAAAACATTAATTTTCTGAAGAATACTTTCTTCATTTTGAGAACAAGTATCCCTATTTTGATTGAACTCATAGGGTTTCTCTCCATGATACATCTTTCCACATTCATTACATTCATCAAGTTTCTTTCTGGCGTAGCTTCCATCACTACTAATTAACTCTGAAATAGAGTCTAAATTCTTTCCACATGAGACACAATTATGAGCTGTTATGCTTGAAGGAACAAGGTTTGTTTCCATATTATAAGTTTTATCAAGTGGATTCGCTCTCTCTTCAATCAGGGTTTTACTGTTACTATAAACAGCTTGTTTTGAATGTTTATCTTCATTTTCTTGAATTCTCTCTATTAGGTCATCAATTTTCCAGACCTCTAAAAGAGAACAAAATTAAACAAATCTTGTGAATCTGAACACAAAAGCTACAGAATACAACTAGTACTTAATTATTCTACTTCTGCTTGATTCTAACTTTAAGGCCAATCTCTACAAATAAAAATAATTAAGACTATACTGTTCTCTTTTCACCGTGATTTATATCGGGTTATCGGAAAAGTCATGATGTGTTTTTTTCTATGTCTTTATATGCAAAATGCATCACAACTTTTCTGACAACCCAGTAACACAAAACACACACTGGGCACTGGGGTGGGATATGGAGAAAGGATGAAGTTGGAAACAGCACTCAGCACTAGTGGGAAAAGAGAGATTAAATTCACACTGAATATAAGTACCTTACTTTATAAATATTATATTCAAAACTTTAGTGGAAAAAGTGAAATAAACCCACAGAATGAGCAGGAAACAGTTAGTGAAAGAATGCTAAATCCAGGCAAGAATGGAAGGGCTTGGAGCATGCTCATGCTGTGATCAGACTGTGTGGTGAGTATCTCTCTCTATTTCTCTCATAAATAAAGAAAGAAAAAAATATTTTTTTTAAGTAAACAGACGATAGCAAGAACAAACATAAAAGTCTCAAGTTAATTTTTATGTTAGGCTTTTTTTTTTTTTTTTTTTGAGAGGTTTTCGCTATAGGGCACGTGCGCTCGCCAGACAGACAGAGAGAGACATAGAGACAGAAAGCGAGAAATCACCCCCCAGGGGGGATGGTCACGCCGCAATCCCTTCTCCTCCACTCTCCTCTTGGGATTTTGGGCACGCACACACACGCGCCCGGCGTGAGTTTTTTTTTTAAGCCACCGGGTCTGGGACGCGAACCGCAGTCGACTACATGGGAGTCCATCGACATAGCCATTACGCTAACTGCTGGTTACCTTATGTTAGGCTTTTGAATGCCTGAAAACAAAGGAATTCTGTGACAATAGTGGGGAGTAGGTAAGTTACTGACTAAGCCAAAAAAGAGTAAGTAAATGGGTCTTCAGTACTGTTAAGCACAGGATAGTTCTACCAATACAAACCAAAGGTAAAACCAAAATATGAGCTGTTATGCATGTGCTGGAGGGAAGTTGATACTTGGGAATTAGGAGATGTGATTTGGGCAATTTGATGCATGTACATAGCTCTTTATCACTCCCAAAGGTCTGGGATGACCATTTAAAACATTTTTGATATTCTATTAATTTACCTGGATGACTTTGACATGAGAATTCACCTTCTATTATCCATGGCTCTTCTCCTTGCTCCAACTTAATGATCACATTTGGTTTGGTGATATCATAACCTGTAAAGGAGAAATGAAGAACTACTTGGATAAATTATAAGATGATGTTGTCTTGTAGGCTGCATAATAAAATGCCCAACTAGTGCCCAAAAGGATTTAAATGATTTTATCACCTAGTTATTCAAATTCAGGAATAAAACCATTATATTGAAAGCAACAAAAAAGGCAAGCTATTTGGGACCAGCAGTTGGCGTAATGGCTGTATCACTGGACTCCCATGTAGTAGACTGCAGTTCGAGTCCTGGACCCAGTGGCTTGAACCACGCCAGGCGCATGTGTGTGCATGCCCAAGATCCCAAGAGGAGAATGGAGGAGAGGGGATTGCAGTGTGGCCATCCCCTGGGGGGGGGGGTGATTTCTCACTTTCTGTCTCTCTGGCGAGCGCACATACCCTATAGCAAAAACCTCTCAAAAACAAAAACAAAAACAAAAAAAACGGCAAGCTACCTTTGGGGCCAGCAGACGGTATAAGAGTTGAGTTACTAGATTCCAGAGGGCCAACTGCAGTTTGAGTCCTGGACCTGGCAGCTTGCTTCCTCACTTTCTGTCTCTCAGGTCAAATTTAAGGATAAGAATAATAAATAAAATTAAATAAATAATTCATAAAAAAGGGGGGGGGGAAGCTATCCTTACCCACAGAAACTAGATTGCTGTAGTTCTCCAACATGACATCCCTATATGTTGTCTTCTCATCAGGGTCTAGCTGCTGCCACTCCTCCTGGGTGAAGTCCACAGCCACATCCTTGAATGATACTAGCTCCTGTAATGATACCATGATCAGAACTGGTAGGAAAGGCATACAAGGACAAGATCTTACAAAGCTCACCAGTAAAGTTAACCATAAACATTGGATACATTATTTTATGTCACAGGCTATGGAAGGAAAACAAACCATAATGGAAACGCATTGCCTTTATTTAAGGTATTAAGCCAAACAATTTTTTTTTTAAAAAATTGAATTCCCATTTTACAATTGAACTATCTAAATTTGGGGAGTAGAGGAGTAAAATACCAGCCCTGCTTTCTAAAAGCTGATGCCTGAAGAGCAGACACACATGTAGATAAATAAATGTTGTGAACTTCTTGTGTTCTTTTTTCAGTCTCTGTTGGTCAGTGGCTCCCTTTTCCCCAATCTCTTCATGCTGGAGCAGTCCAAGACTCTCAGCCTGGTCTCTTTCTTCCCAACTGACTCTTCTGGTACACTCTCCCTGTTTCAATTCTTGGATCCTTTGGCTTTTTTATTCTTACAGACAGTTACTTCTACTACCTGCCTGGCTAAGTTTATTGATTTACTTCTTTCAAACATTTCATTTATTTATCTTGAACATCTCATTCTTGTAGCAAAAAATATTTGTTGATTGGATAAATGCCCAAAGATGTTATAAGAGTAACATATTCAAGGTAGGGAATGGTTTAACAAAAGGGAATCCAATTTTTTAAATTGTAGGCTATCAGATTAGGCATCACAGATTCAATTAATAATTTGACCTCTTTAAAGATGAACTGCGGGGCTGGCTCCGTGGACTGGTGCTTAAGGCAGCCAGATCCCACATTACTGACCATGCAGTTCAAGTTCCAGATAGAAAAACATGCCAGGTGTGTTTGCATGCATGCCCAAAATCCTCAAAGGGGAAGAAACAGAAGAGACAGGATTGTGGTGTGAACATTCTTCATGGGGGAGTGCTTTCTCCTCTCCCTCTTTCTATCACTCTGTCTCTCTCTGGTGAACACATGCACCCTCTATGAAGGAAAAAAAAAGATGAACTGTGTTTTGTTTTTTTTTGGTTTTTTCTTCTTCTCTCTTTTTCTTTCTTGTAATTTGACCAGAAAGGGACAGAGTGAGTGAGAGAGAGAGAGACAGAGGGAAAGTGAGAAAGTGAACTGCCAGGTCCAGGATTCAAACTGCGTTTGGCCATGTGGGAGTCCAGTGCCACCTGCTGACCCCAAACTGTGAATTCTACAGGAGCAATAGAAAAAGAAAACAATAAAGTATAAAAGTACTAATGGTGGGACCAGCAGATGGCATAATGGTTACATTGCTGAACTCTCACATAGTCAACTACAGTTCAAATCCCGGATCCAGAGGCTTAAAATCATGTCAGGTGCGTGTGTGTTCATGCCCAAAATCCCAAGAGGAGAATGGAAGAGAAAGAATTGTGGCATGGCTATCCCACCTAGGAGTGACTTCTTGCTTTCTGACTCTCTATCTATCTCTTGTTGGCGAGTGCACAGACCCTATACCAGAAATTTCTCTTTAAAAAAAAGTACCAATGACAAAAACTGAAGCAGCATCAGTATTTAACAACTGGCATGGAAAAATAAGCCAAAGAAACCAAGAAGGCACTTTCTAAAGGACTATTTGATAATACAGATCAATTCTAATTCAAGAGAGTAAATCAAACATGTAATTAACTTTTCTGCCTCAAAAACAAATAAAAATCCCTGAAATTACAATTCAAATAAACAGAAAAGAGCAGATGCTATTCTAAGAGTGGTGGATACAAGTTCCCAAAACAGGAATTTCTTTGGGGAAAGTTTTGAGATAGAGGAGAGTAGGAGATGAAAGAAATCAGAGCCATAGGATATATTTCTTTACACAGGGGCAGAGAGATGCTGGGCTATAGCAAAAGGGAACAGCAAACTCTTCAACAGAGCTCCTGAAAATCTCCAGTCCATCAGAAGGGCCTTGAATTCCTGTGGGTATTCAGTTGCGTGACTGATGGATACGTGAAGCAGATGATGTTGTGAGTCACAGGACAATCACACAGCTTGGGTGGTAACCTGTTATCAGCTCACAGAGCAGCTTCATAAATGCTGAAAATAGTAAGCCTGATGGCACTGTAGACAGACAGAGCAAAGCACACATACTTCAGACCTCCACAACTGGAACAACCATATAGTCATTATCCAAACAGGTAACTTTTGTCTGGGACGGTGAAAACCAGATGGGATACAGGGGATATGAGTACAATCCAAGACTGTTGGGTAAACCAAGGCATATATTCAACTGTTTTCTCATCAGATATGCAAATTTCCCTGAAGCCATCTCTTAGAAAACTACTTTCAATGTAAAACTACCCTCAAGTAAAGCAACTTTGGCCAGTTCAGGTTGGCTATCAATTCACAGCCCATGCAAAATAAAGTGATGCATTTCTAATTACATACCCCTATTTATCTCTAGATTCTGCACACATCATCTCCATAAAGGAAAGAGGAATGAAACAGGGTCATGAGTTGAGTACATTCACATTAGCTATTAATAACTATTCTCTCATGAACTGAAATTTAAAAATCAAGATCTGTCAGCTATTCGAGAAAAACTAAATAGAAGATAAGCATTAAGAGGAGTAACTCAGGGCTGGTAGGTAGCATGGTGGTTAGGGCGACTGGACTCCCACATAGCAGACCACAGTTTGAGTTCTGGTCCTGGAAGCTTGCTTTCTCATTTTCCTTCTCTCTATCTCTGGTCAACTTCAAAAAATAAAATAGTGACAATGACTAAAATTAAATAAAATAATTTTTTAAAAATAAAAGAGGGATAATTCAACACTGAAGGAACCAAATTCATAAAGGAAACAAAACTTAAATTTTTTTCTACTAATTCATATTTCTGAATAAATTAAGCAGGTTTTTGCTCCATAAAATGAAAACATCCTGCTAAGAAACAGCCATTGGAGAAATTAAAATCTGGAATGCTGAATTGCTTTTAGACTTAACAAATGGGACACAGAATATACTAGGTTGTCAGGGAAGCCAGGACATATTTTTCTGTTTTTCTATGCAAAAATGTGTCATGACTTCCCTGAAGACCCAGTAGAACTTAGGAAGTCTCTCAGAAAATATGAAATGGAAGACATAAAAGCCAATTTGGTAGACAAAAGGCAGATACAGGACAGCTAGTTAAGAGCACTAATCTGGACAGAATGGAGAAATGGAGAAGAAAGAACTGTGGTGTGACCATGCCCCACTGAGGGGGGTGCTTTTTCTCTCTCTTGTCTGGCAAGCTTGTGAGCCCTCTGTCAATTAATAATAAATAGTGTTAGTACAAGTGATAAAAAACCATTTGGATGTAGAAAAAACTGCATCTAAATCATAAAAGAATAAACTCTAACTGGATCAGTGGCCAAAATATAAGAAATTAAACCATACAGGAAAAAAAATGGGTAAATTTC